AAGCACCAGACACAAATCATACAGGAAGAAGCATGTGTCCAATTCAATATAATTTCTTGCACCTCCAAAAAATCCTTCATGGAGTAGGAGACCAAAATATGCCTGAAGTACAAGCTGAAGCATGTCAGGCGATATCAGAAATGAGATCGTACTGGAAGGATAATTTGCTTCAGACTCTGCTAAGGGAGACCTGCAATGGCAGGGGGATTTCTAAGAAATTGGAAAGTGCGTGTGATACACAAATAGCTGGGAACAGCTGTTCATGGCAAGTCAAAAACAAAAACAAAGCTTACAAAAAAGAGAGAACCCTTGTTACATCAAAGTAGAATTATATACATTTAGAGATCTGATTCCTACTGATCAAGGCATCACAAGGTTTTCTACAATTTCAGTTAAAATGTTTTGTAGTTCGTTGCAGTCTTCTTCTGAGTTTCTATAGTATAAATCTGATGAAATACAAATGTATACAGCTATTTTTCATATGAAAATAATCCTATTCTGTCTTTCTTATAATTGAAAGATTCCATGATGGAAATAAGAGACTTGGCTATTTTTATTTTCATAATAATAATAATAATAATAATTTTATTTCTATACCGCCCTTCTCCCGAAGGACTCAGGGCAGTGTACAGCCTATTTAAAAACACAAGACAAACATCAATTTAAAATTTAAAATTATTAAATAAATTTGGCTCCATTTAAAACCCCAGAAATTTAAAATACCCCAATTTAAAATTATCATGTCGATAGCCCGGCCTGGCAGAACAACAGGGTCTCATAGTAAATTGAAAGCATGAAAATGCTTATATCCCGTTAAGTATAGTTTCTCTAACTGGTAAATACAGTAAGTCCATTGGTAGAACAAAAAACAAGTAAAGCAAGTCCATTAATTAATCCAATTTTAGGCTACCCATCTCTCTCCCACACACCCACATAAAATTAAACTTTGTAGGTTAATAAAAATACAAAGTCTTCCTAAAGGCTAAGGTGAACAGTAGCCCCCATGTTTTATTGTGAAATCAGTTCCACAGATATGCAATAATCATACAGAAAGCTCAGTCTCAGGTGTAGTTAGGGGACTTTCCTGGGTGTTATATGGGGGGCAGTGGGAAACCTACAAGTAAATTCTGCAAATAAAAATTATTTCTGTTTGGTACAGACTACCCAGAAAATAGTGCAATGCAAGCTAAAATTGTATTTTAATTACTGTAGACCAGAGGTGGGTTTCCGCAGGTTCTGACCAGTTCTGAAGAACCAGTAGCGGAAATTTTGAGTAGTTCAGAGAACCGCTAAATACTACCTCTGACTGACCCATCCCCATCTATTCTCTGCCTCCCAAGTCCCAGCTGATCAGGAGGAAATGAGGATTTTTGCAGTAACCTTCCCCTGGATGATGATGATGATGATGATGATGATGATGATGATGATGATGATGATTTATTAAACTTCTATACCGCCCTTCTCTCGAAGGACTCCGGGCAGTGTACAGCCATGTTAAAACACACATAAACTCACAAAATTTAAAAAACAATTTAAAATGAATATATAAAATTTGGCCCACAAAGTTAAAACTTGACAAACAACCCAATTTAAAATTCATATTCTAAGCCAGCCCGGCCTGTTGGAACAAAAGGGTCTTAAGGGCATGGTGAAAGGTACGAAGGTCAGGGATCATACGGACCTCCAGGGGCAGATCATTCCAGAGGGCAGGTGCCCCCACAGAGGAGGCTCTCCCCCTGGGTGTCGCCAGTTGGCATTGTTTGGCCGACAGCACCCTGAGGAGTCCCTCTCTGTGGGAGCGTATTGGCCGATGGGAGGCTACCGGTGGCAGAAGGTGATCTCATACATACCCAGGTCCTAAGCCATGGAGCGCTTTAAAGGTGGTAACCAGCACCTTGAATGGCACCCGGAAGACCACTGGGAGCCAGTGCAGCTCGCGCAGGAGAGGTGTTACGTGGGTGCACCGTGTTGCACCCATAATTACCCACACGGCCACATTCTGGACCAGTTGGAGCCTCCGGGTGTTCTTCAAGGGGAGCCCCATGTAGAGAGCATTACAGTAGTCCAGATGTGATGTGACGAGGGCGTGAGTGACTGTGTGTAAGGCGTCCCGGTCCAGAAAGGGACGCAACTGGTAAATCAGGCGAACCTGATAGAAAGCTCCCCTGGATTGAGGAGGGAATGGAGATTTTACAGTATCCTTCCCTTGGAGTGGAAAGGGAATGGAGATTTTACAGTATCCTTCCCCTGCCTCACCTACCAAGCCACGCCCACCAAGCCATGCCATGCCCATCAAGCCACACCACACAATCATTTTAATATTTGTATTCTGTTTTCATTCTTGTTTTTCAGTTAAGACACAAAAAAGAAAAGAGCAAGGGTTTTTTTTAAATACTAGCACACTAGCAATAAAATCATTTTAATCCATGTAATCTATTTAAAGCCAACAGAGAATGAATATATAATAATTTCTATTTGACAGTATTTATAGACCAGTCCAGTCTCGGTAACTGTGGGCATTGTACATAAACAATCTAAACTATGAATATGTACATTAAAATATACCCATTTACTCATTTAAAAAAAAATCACAAAACCCAGATGAGTGCCAGAATCATTCTAGCGTATTAAGGCACTCTGAAATAAAAAAATGTTTTATGCAAACAGAATACAGGCTAACCCCAAGGAATTATGTAATAGGGAGGGCTGTTACTTAGAAGGCTGGCTTTCTGGTCCAGTCAAAACTTCCCATCAATTTTAACATCAAGGAAGGTCATTCCATTTCCTTTCCCCCAAACCTGAGATGATTCTATGCCTTGAATACAGCCTGAAAAGTGATGACTGTAACAAGTGTTTGTTGCCATATGATTGGCGGTACTAAATTGACCTTGCCTGGTTCAGAAGAGGGTTCACATGGTTAAGACATGAGCAGCAGTAACTGCAAAGAGAGCTGGTTTGGGCACTTTACATCTTACGTCACAATTTTCCCAAGATATTCATCAGGCACAGCAATCTTTACACCCAGGAAGCAAACCATTATTATTTCTTCAAGACTTAGGACTCCTCTTGCTCATCTCTGTTTTTATTTGCTTCTCTTTGCCAGTTCTTCACAATGAGAGGAAGCACTGAGTTAAATAGCATTTTTGAAGGATCAAAAAATTCTGCTCTTGACTTGGGAATGTCCAACCATGTTAATATTTGAGAACAGATTAATTGTATTAAAATCCAACATCAAGTAACCCTCTGATAAATCATCACAAAGGTATGGCTTTCTTCTGATTAAGACAATATTAAAAAAAAATAAAAAAACAGAAATGTTTCAAAAACTGAAGAAATGACAAGCTATTTTAAACATTAGAATGGAAACTTAAAGACTACCAGAGATAAATGCATTAATATTAGGCAAACAATCATTAAGCTAAAACTTCAGGAAGAAATGGGTGCTCTCTGCACCAGACAGCACCCAGGTTTAGCACTAATGACTTCCATCAATGCTGCCAATGCTATCACATTACTCACATCTACGAGCTCAACCTTCACGTTAGCTGTTGGGAAAAAAAACTCAGTTCTCTCAACCACCAGCTGTTAGAATGTAATGAAGTAGAATTAGAAGCCAAAATGTCTCTACAATGAAGCATTTGTAACAATACTAAACAATTTACAAATAGAAGTCAGGCCTTTTTTTTTTTTTACTCTGAAGACAATATATTTGTCCTAGAACTTCTTGAATCAGTCTGGTTTTTCAATTACTGCAAAGCCAACACTTTTCCATTTCTTCTTTTTTATCATAATCCTCCCTCTTCAAATATCCATTAATGCAAAACTGAATAATTTTGGAATAATTATTGAAAATTGTTCAGTTTTCAAACTAAAGTAGTTAGGTTTTTGATACATTCTCTGTCAAGTTGAATTCAACTCCTGGACATGACTATATTGTCTTCTTTTCGATAACACGAAGTGATTTGCCAGTACCCTTTTCTAGGATTTACTGAGTACTAAGTTTAGCCTGGTATTTCATAATGAAGTCAAGATTGCCCAAGGACTGCCATTTAGCTGAGCTATGCACTGTTACTGTACTGTAGGAGATGATAAGGCTGAGCCTGAGGGAGGAGTCAAATGCATGATAAGTCATGAGTCCCTGTACACCACAAGAGATCTAAGTCCAACGCACCTTGAATGTCTTATTCCCGCTCATTTCCCTTGACCATTAATAGATTTTTGTAGAGAGCTTAAACTTGCAATAGGTCTTTAAATTCATTTGAACTGCCTGAATCTCCTGACTTCCCTAGTGCTTGATAGTTACCCATGAAATAGAAGACTTTTCTATTTTGGAATAGACCAGGAGAAGTCATTGGTCTTATTTTAGATTTCTCATTGTTATAAAGAGCACAATAAACAATTTAAAAAGTATTCTTGATGCATACATATATTAGAAACATAATATTATCTTTAAAAGAAGCTTTATGTAGTCAGAGTTCACTATCAACTAATGTCCAGGAGACAATATATTCTTTAGCATTTTGTAACTCTTTTGTCAAGTGCAACACTTAACTTAGTGATACCGTTTCCAGTAAAAGCAATTACTATGCCAAGGTAAAGGCTTTTGTGAAGTAGAATGTACTTCATCAGGGGAAAGCTTGTTCTATGATAAAAAAATGTAAACCTTTAGGGTGTCATGAAACTTTTCATTGCATATGAAGTAAAATACCAGTAAAACTGCCCTTTGGGAAACTATTCTGGTAAATTAACCCATTCATCAGTTTGCATCAGGCTTCCGTGGGTCAGTGAGGGAGACATGCCATACAAACCGATGGCAAAGGTTTTCTTGATTTTTAAATTGTAGATTGTAAAACCTAAGTGGAACATTTCTGGTAAAAAAAATTGTCAGTTTATTTTAAGTGAAACTTCTTAGTGGTTTTGTATGTACTAATGCAGATTAATATACCTCACCAAATTCTTGGAAAACAACTAATCCTTTTGCCCTCCACCCAGAATCTTACCTTTCTTCAATGGTTTGACGACGAAAGCTGGTATTCCTATCTAGCTTAGATTGGCTCTTTGTTCTTTTGATTGAGCCTCTAAGCCGTCTACTAAAGAAGCCCTAAAAAAAGACACAAGAAAGGAAGTTATACAAACTAGTATTAGTATTTTTAAGTAGCTTCTCTTTAAAAAAACAGCTTTGGTAATACTCAGTTTATGCAACTCAAATAAAGACAATAGTAATTGTGATAATACGACTTATATTTGCCCCAGGTAGGAATTCAAACAAATCAGTAACAGAGGAAGAAATATCTTAAAACTCTCTAAGAATATAAGAGAAACAGGTTTATGTCAGCAAAAAAACAAACTGAATAACACTATAGATTTGTTGAGAATTGCCAAACAAGGCCAGGGAGTGAAGAGGGAATGCTTATGTGGTGTTGACTGCTAAGTCTGTTGGAATGAGAAACAACATTGTGAACCACATCTGACATTTGCTTTAATTTAATAATTACATTTAAGGGAATCAATATCTCATCAAAGCATAGATGATCTGAGATAATGAAGGAAATGTGAGGTATCCTGTCCCACACTGTCAGTATCTTCAATCTTTTCTTTCTCAGTCCTTATAACATAGCTATCCTCGAATCAAAAGAAAAAAATGTTTTTAACCTCTGGGTTAAACCTCTGCCCCATTAAAATCCAGGTCAATTATTGCTTAGCATTTCCGAGAAAGTTTAATACCATTCTATAGCCTCAATTTTGCAGTATATATAACAGATTAAAAAAAAAACAAAACATGTATTTGTTTGGTAGTTCTCCAGGCTATCAGACTAACTTACATGACAGAATCTTCCATTAAAAAAATCAAGACATGGCTATTAGTAACAGAAAATTCTCTTAATTTTTTTTCATAAAAATAAACTGCTGCTTTGATGATCTAGAGCAGGGCTGTCAAACTCCCGGCCCATGGACCAGATGCGTCACATGCTGGCACTCCCACGCCCGGTTTAGCAAAGCGGAAAAAAAGTCCCGATACATCATGTGACACCGCCGTGAGGATGTGAGTTTGACACCCATGATCTAGAGATATTTTTGGGTGTTAAGTATTGTGGTTTCATTTTGTATTTAATTATTGTATAACTTGAAACATATAATATTAAAGTATTTTTTCAGTAACTTTTAAGTAGAAAATTAAGAAAAAAGAATTTCAGTTACCATATAAATTTAGCATTTAAAAAGCAATTGTTAAACTGAGCCAGATTCAGATAACTGTAACTCAACTGAGGCAAAATTTTAATTAAAACAATTAAGGACAGAATAAAGAAGTAATGATTGAGGAAACAAAGGGGAGGTATATACAGGAGCAAGATCTGTAAAAATAAAAGGCCAATGTCATTAAGAAAGCTACCTATAGTTGTCCATGATATTGAAAACAAACCTAACTAAATATGCACCAAGACAAATTCCTTGTGTGTCCAATCACACTTGGCCAATAAAAAATTCTATTCTATTCTATTCTATTCTATTCTATTCTATTCTATTCTATTCTATTCTATTGGGTTATTTGAAAGAGAAGTTTTGAAAAACACTTTATATAGGCAAGTAATCAATATACGCTTTAGGCTTTCTCTCAGAGTCACAGTAAGAACATAGGCATAATAATTCATTGCAGAGATTATTCAGAAAAGCTAGCCTCAAACACAATCCTTAATGGAGTATGACATCAACTTGCAAGGTACATATAGTCCTCAACTTATAGCCTTTCGTTTAGCGACAGTCTGAAATTACAGTGGCATTGAAAAAGCAACCTATAAGTGGTTCTCAACAGTTCTGACCATCGCAGCACCCCCATAGTCATGTGATCAAAATTTGGGCAATCAAGTTTAATACATTCAATTGTTAATAACTCTTCCTGCCATTGTGATCAGGAGGATGTTATCTTCCTCTTGGGTGGTCACTCTTCAGGGAACCTCTAAGAAGGTTTCAAAATTCATATTAATAGCTATAGCTATTAGAAACCATCTGCTCATCCTCCTCTCATGCTATCAATTATTAGCTGCTAATTATTCTAGAATTTTATCACTATTTAAAAAATTTAAATAATTGTATTGTACACTGCTGTTTTACTGGACTGCAATTAACGTCTATATATTTCTTAAGTATTTTTAGAATTGCTTCAGGAATAGTTGATGACCTGGGACAATGGCCCATTTCTCATGGATTTCCATAAGGAATATAAAAGAGGTTGTGTAGAAGAATTGTGTACATGTTGCTTATTGTTACAGCTACATATGACAATATGACATATGTACAAAGATTTGAGTACACATATCTTAATTAAAATTAAAGCAATTTTAATTGCTTTAATCTGCCCCTTTGACAAGAAAGAGTATGGACAGAATGCAATTGTCTATTTTTTTTAATTCTTAGATATTATTAGTTACTAAAACTGTATATACCCCTTCTCTTAAAATTTATCATAGCAGCTTGTCCATTCTGCTTTAAAAATTATGGTCATAGAATTGTTTTAAATCAGTTAATACAAAACATACAGTTGGTCTCATAGAATTGCCAAAAAAGGGGGCAAAAGCTTGTAGAGTAGGTACTACATTTTTCTTGTTCTTTTAGGTACTTTTCCCAGACATCCAATACTTTTTTTCTGAAGAATAATAAAAACTGTACAATAGCTAGCAAGATGAAAAAAACTAAGCAACAGCAGATCTGATTAAACCAGAATCATCGACCACAATTATATTTTATATGATTTTCAATATTTTCTTCATATTTTACAGAGAAATATGGAATAAATATTACATGTATTTTGTAATAATCAGCTGTTGCCAATTAATAGCTGTGTCTGTCACAGATCATCAAAGTTACTATATTTTAGTAGTCAAGCTACACCTATAGGTTATTAATAATATTGATTAAATTAATTTTTTTTTACATTTGCCTGTTTTGTTATTCAAAATCATGAAAACAAATATTTATTAAAAGACATGAAAATAAATTACTTCTACTTCATTTTTATTCTTTCTAATTAAAAAAAAACTACATTTTTCCAGGATCTTGGCCCCAGATGTATTTTGCCCTTGTCAGACAAACTTTACATCTAATGGGAAAAAAGAGGCAACTGCTTAGGAAGAAAGAAAAAAGCTCCTTGTTATTCATAAAACTTACAAATTCCTTTTAATGATAGTTGCTTGGCTTGGAGTGCTATGTACCACAGGGATTCCTGAATCCCAACTTGAATGTCTGTATGTAATTTTTAATTTTATGAATATTTTTATTATTGTGAATACACTCTTCTGTTGACTTTTACCACTTTAAAAAGGTTCTTTTCACAAAGAATAAATAAACTCCTTTTAATTTTTGCTACCTGTGTAGAACAGCAGCAATTGAAATAGATATTTAGGGAGTACTATCATTTTTTATTGTTGCTATATGGCCAACAAGCGATGCTTTAATTTTTCCCAATTTCTTATAAGCTTGTTAATGTTTTTAATTAGAGGATTATAACTGTTTCCTCATATATAATTCAGATCTTTAGTGAAATAGTATTTCTAAACACTTAAGATTACAGTGCCTAAGGGTGCAACAAGCTGCAACTTTTTCTGGGGAACATTTAAAAGGCATTTCCCCCCTTGGATTGAAACGTGAACTTGCTACTGCCGGAAGGTACATTTAGCTAACTGAAGTAACTTTAAGATAACCTTAGCTAAAACTGGACAGCTTTCTAATGTCTTACAAAGCAAAATATTACCTGCAGAAGATTGTATTCCTGGTTACGTACCTTTTATGCCCCAGCTTTTGAATAGCTCTAAACTAGTGAAGTGCAATAGCAAATAATAAAAATGGGACACCTCTGCCATAAACAGATCTCATCTGTTAACGCATGGAACTTAGCAGAAATGTCAGTATGCTAAATAAACTCTAATGGTTTATACTGTTGTTTCATCTGTATAAACTTGGTTTAAATCTCCCCCAGCATTATTCCCTTTTCTTGAAATGAGTGCAATTTGGCCAGATAAAGCTTTTATTTATTCATACTGTTCTTTACTGCAGGAATAGAACAAACTCAGCTGTTTTCTTTTCCCAACAGACCTTTAAGGAAGATATACATTTACTCTCAGGATATAGTAGTTACCACATAAAAATGGTTATTCCCTTGCTTTTGATGATCCAATAGATTAAAATTGCCCTTTAACTACAAGTAGTCCTCGATTTACAACAGTTCATTCAGTGACCGTTTGAAGTTACAACGGCACTGAAAAAAGTTACTTATAACAATTTTTAATGCCTATGACTTTTGCAGTATCCCGATGGTCACATGATTTACATTCGGATGCTTAACAAGTGGTTCATATTTATAACGGTTGCACTGTCCCGGGGTCATGTGACCATCTTTTGCAGCCTTCTGACGAGCAAAATCAATAGGGAAGCCAGATTCACTTAACAACTGTGGTACTAATTTAACAACTGCAGTGATTCACTTAACAAATGTGGCAAGAAAAGTCATAAAATGGGGCAAAACTTAACAAATTTCTCACTCAGCAACATAAATTTTGGGCCCAATTGTGGTAATAAATTGACCACATAAGCATAACTTACCTGTACGCTATTTAGAGAAAATAATATTTCTATATATGTCCATATTCTTTCAAGAGTTGAAAAATCCATTTACATTTTGTGAGAATATCTTATTATTATTGCCCAACTTGTTAAGTATTGCCTTTTATTGTGTATTTTCTGATAGCATAAACTGAAAGTGACTCCTAAACAGTCCCCACAACCAACTTTGCAACAAAATAAAGCTTAAAGAGCAAATCTTTTCTATATTACTGTAATAAAAAAAAAGGATTATAGCAAAAACTTCCATATGCATAATTCGCCCAAAGTAACTTTGCAAGCACTCTACTAAAAAGCAGGATGCATGAAATTAATTCTGAAGGGAGCTGGGTATTTAGGAAAGATTTGTCCTACAACTTTTCGCTTACAGCCCCAAAATCAGTAACATTCAAAGTAAGTCTCAGCCTTTCAAGATAGGAAATTAAAAAACAGCCACAACAGAGATTGTATTGTTTGTTATAGGACAGCATAACAAAATCTTGAAAGCCT